ATTATCCAGGTAGAAGGCTTCCACGTGACACCAGAGTGGAGACCAGAAACCATGGTTCCTGTATTAGCTGTCATGATTAGGCCTGGAAACATGGCCGAAGTCAGCCCTGCTGATTTCCTGGATACTGATCAGGCATACAATAGGCTCTACAGGGAAATGAAAGATTATGCTGGGGAAGGCAGAGTGGTTGCCACCCACAACAGAGCACTCTGTCTAGCCTAGGGAACTAAACTCTCAACTTTTGTTTAGTTGGGGGAAGACTAAGGAACTGAATACAAAAGTTCCAGCTGTGGGACTTTTTTAGCCCAGTGAAGGTATGACTAAGAAGCATTGCCAGAACATCTTGTGACTGTTCCCGGAAGCACTATATCCATCACCAAGAAGTGAGAATCCTAGCCACCTAGTCACAGTGCCAGTAAAGGTTCGGCTCTTTGGTAAAGGGAGGCTGGGCACAGTGGCACATGCCTGTAATCCCAGTATTTGGAAGGCTGAGGCAGGAGGAATCACCATGAATTTGAGGTCAATCTGGGGTACATAAGTGAGTTCAAGGTCAGTCTGCACTACATAGTAAGAACCTGTCTCAAAAAAAAAAAAAAAAAAAAAAGGTAAAGGGAAGTGACTGGCTGGACTTAAGGTCTGGGGGGTTGTGGAAGGACAACTGAGACCGATCTAGTTATAGCAGAGATAGTACAGGAGCTGCCAATAGTAACAATAGTCAGGTCGATACCAGATGGCCACTGACCACGAAGGGCAAGGTAAATCAAGGCAAAGTTCCTTACAGTTCCCTAGTGCAATCTTTTAACAGTTTAAAAAAAAAAAAAAAAAAAAAACTTGGAATGGAGAAAGGTGCACACAGCAGAGTAAGGGCACTCCACCTGCCAGTATGCTCCTCTCTACCGAGCACATGCAGCCAGGTCCAGAGGCCCACAGTAGACTCCCCACCACACCACCACACGCTTTATCTCTGCTTTATATTGAGCTGCTTCTGTTTTGTCTTCATTCATGCTGATTTGTCTAGAATGACTCTCCTGTTGACCTCCCCAACTTTTTCACCTCATTTTCCCTCTACTAAATTACAATTCAGTCCTCACTAACAGTGGAAAGCACTTCCCTGACAAGCTCCTCTAGTCCCTAATCCCAGCTGGGAGCCTAAATATGATTCCTAGTATTTTGGATTTGCTAGTACTATTGCATTTACAAATTTATTAAAATAATGTATGTGTTCATCTTATCCTCTGCACTGTGGAGCCCTAGATCATATATCTTACTCACCTTTGAAGCTTCATGGCCAGTTCTAGACCCAATAAAAAAACAAGTGTAAGTAATTTTTGTTAAACTGTAGATCACTACCATAACCTCAATAGTTCAGTCCTTTTGAAATGGAAAGGAAGTAAGTAATCATCTCTTGCCTTTCTGGTGCAATGATTTCATCAGTCTTTACATTTGGGTGACAGTATTCTTCCATATTCCCCTACCAACCCTCTCAACCATTTATTCAGTGCCTTCCCTCCCTCTAAGTTCACACAGGCTAATAACATCAAAGCTGCATGGCTTCACAGGCCAGAATGAGCCCATCCAAACCTAAAATTTCCCTGGAGTTTTGTGACTCAACTAGGAGGTTGAAGGATTGCAGTATAGACAGCATCTACTCTGGTGTCCGATTTGGGTTCAAATTCCAGGCCATTTACCAGTTCTCTGATCAAATTCATTTCTTCAAACCTCAGTTTTCAATGTAGACTTAATTTGATTTAGGTTGAATCTCCCAGAATCAGATTTAACTTGAATATAAGTATGTGGGAAAGATCCAGGGCCATGCCAGGATTACAACGATGCAAGGGAGATGCCCAGGATGCAATCTCTCTTTTTTTTTTTTTTAATCCTTTATTTATTTGATACAGGATCTTGCTACACAGCTTGGACTTGCTGGGATCCTCCTGTCTCAGCCTCCCCAGTACTGGGATTACAGGCATGCGCCACCACGCCGTTTCACTGGTCAACACAGCATGTGGTACTGGGGATTGACCCTTGCAATTGCCAGGCAGGTGCTCAGATCACTGAGCTCAGTGATCTGAGCTCACCACTGAGCTCACCAGCCCGCAGAATCTTAAAAAGGTCCTCTCAGATGCACTCAAATGCTAACTGTGAATGTACATGAAGAATGTACATGAACCAAACAGTAAAGGCCTTTTACTTAGTTTTGGTGCTAAGGAAGTTGGAGTAGCAAGGAAAAGAAGCCAACAGAGTGTATACAACTAAGATATTGCTGGCAGATATTGTGGCTTTATTTGTTCCTCCAAGTCTTTGTTTCCTCATCAGTCCAATAGGAAATCCCTGAAAGGAAGACAGAATGTGCCTGTTTTCCTACCTGAGGGGTGAAGAAGATGGGGAACTTATCCTCCAAATTCCATTTTCACTGAGTTCTGTCCTAGGACACTACTTTCCTAGCACTTCCAGAGTGTGTGTGCCAACACCACTTAATTTCTCAGGCAGTCACAGGTATTTAAAATAGGACCATGAGACTATGGTCAAGTGAGATAAGCCAGCTACAACCTCTGCTGGAGGATGAAATAAAATAACACAGCCACAGCTCCTAACACAAAGTCCCCATCTCTCTCCCAATCTATGGCAATATACTGTAAAGTTCATGGAGCTTCCCATAGCAGCACACTTCTTAGGGCCCTCCAGAGTGCTCTAGATGTCCAGGACTCAAGGCTTCCTATGGAATGCTAATTCAAATGAGCTGTCTCCTCTTGCATCTGGATACTCTACCTCTTTCTGGCCTCTCTACCCCTCACTGCAATCCACACTACTCATGACATGCTAAACTAGCATTACATTAGTAATAACTGCAGCCACTAATTTACCATCTGTGTGACAGATAAATTTATTTTATTTTTTGACACCATCTTCTGTGTGACAGATAAATTTATTTTAATTTTGATACAGGGTCTTGCTATACAGTTTGGATCCATAATGATCCTCCTGTCTCAGCCTCCTTAGTGTTGGGATACAGGTGTGTGCCACCACACCCAGTTCCAGGGCTGGCATGGCATGTGGTACTAGAGATTAAACTTGGGACCTTGTGCTTGCCAGGCAGGCGCTTATGCCACTGAGCTATCTCCCCAGTCCCCTTTATATGCATTATGTTAGTTCTTAGGAGCCTATAAGGTCGAGTAATTTCTACTAGACAAAGTGCAGGTTTGGATAGATCTGACACACTTTCTACTCTGTCTTCATTCTTTCACTGTATTCCTCCCCCATGGCTATGGTATGGGGAGGAGACTGCAGACCAACAAGCAGCCCTTACCAAAAATATGGGTGGTAAGCTAGAAAATGAGTGCTGTTCCCTTAACTATTAGCTAATAATTAAGCCTGTAGTTCCTGGTCTGGCTGATCCATACTGTAGGCCCCTGACTCACACTGCATAGACTGTTCAATTTTAAGCCAAATAATTCATCTTCCAGAAGCAGCACTTTTCCTATCTTCAGGCAGACAGATGAACACAGTTTCCTGTTTATAAAGCTGTAACTCCAATAAATTGCCATTTAGTAAGAGAGGAGATGAGCCAGGGTCAAGGTGATGGGACGTAAATGATAAACTATTTTTCCTTAGAAAGAAAAACAGGAAAATAATATTAAGAGTCAAAATATAGCACTTTCTGTGCAACTAAAGTATGGAGCACCGTGGTCTTACTGCCATGGACAAAGAGTGGCTTTATTTGTTCCTCTGAGTCTCTGTTTCCTCATCTAAAAAATAATTACAATATTTATATAGGTAGGTCATTAAAATAGTATTTTTTTTAAAGGCTACTACATAAGTGATGCTGGATGTAATATCCATGTTATCCAACAGCAAGACATCTATGCAATAAACAGTGAGCCTGAGAGTCTAGGTCCCAGGCAGGACACAGTGCCGAGTAGCCTAGTGTCTCTACTGGGTCTTCCATTCTGTTACCTGTGAACTCCCCAGTCTCACACATACCTCATTTTCATTTTAAAAATAAAGGAATAGGAACTCTGGACATGATAAATTGGAAGATAGGATAATGTGAGTTGTGTGGATATTTATCCTGACCCAAGAGCCTTTCCTGTCAATAGCCACCTCCCCATAGGCTTTTACTACATCTTCAAATTAGCTAGCTTTTTAAAAATTTAAACACCTTTGGTCATCTTTTTCAGATAGTTACTTCTACCATCTAACAGCTTCTTTCTTTGGAGTTTTTCTATGTACTAAAACCAGACTACACTGCACACTCCCAGGCAACATGGTGTAGAATGTGCCACTACTCTGGTAACGTTACTGAAACAGAAGTTACTACATCAAGAAAACCAACCTTGGTTTCAACAGATGATCATGTTTAGCACCCTCACTGGTTAATCTACAGTATTTTGAAAATAATAGTTACATAGAAACTAATATAGGCTGCTCATTTACAAATCTGGAGAAGAATGGAAGGACACATCTCTAAAAGGTCCTATGCTCTAGTTGAAAATTCTTAATTGGTTTAGAATAACAAAATGAAGTGACAGGTTACTGAATGAAAGAAACAGAATAAATGGTGAGATTCAATGCCCTGACCCCTTGTAGAATGATGTAAGGAACAGTGAAGGGAGTAATCACACAGTGTTCAGAACTGTAACTATAAATTTAGAGAATATAGATGCTACATCAAAAATTAGTACTGGAACTCCTTCAGAAATATGTAATTTATGAATCTGAGAACTTTCTCTACAATGAAGATATTTCCACTCCAAATTCCAACACACAAGTGCTGGCTCCGCCCCAGGGCACATTGAGACAGGCATTGAGACTGGGCATGGTGGTGCTCGCCTGTAATCCCTGCTCTTGAGAGGCTGCAAACAGGTGGATCACTATAAGTCTGATCTAGTAATGAGACCCCGAACACCCTGTAGACCCTTCCCCAAAAAGTAGAAAAAAATAAAAAAAAACAAATTCCAACACAGAGATAAAAGAAAATTCTCCATTAATTGAAATAAGATTCATACATAAATATATTTAAACTTTCTTTTAACTATAAGCAAATTCAAACAGAATGTTACAAAACAGAATACTATACATTGTTGTCTGTATAGATCATAGAAAACATAAAAATCAGGGTGACTGATGACTGGGTGCTGGTGATGAAAACTGCACAATCAAAATTTGCTTAATAATTAACTGGAGGACACTATGGCCATCCTATTATTAATAGTCTTGTGAATATTTGGACCCAAAAGTCAGTATTTTCTCCTTCTTCCTCTGCTTGCTTTGGTCCGAGTCCGGGTACCTGGCTGGACTGAAAGTTGCTTTTTGAAGTCTATTAAGCAACCTGTAGCTTCTGAAACAGAAACAAAAGACTTGATGGGAGATTCATTTAAGTTGAGATGTATGTGGGAACTCTGCATTTCTCTGCTGTAGCCTGCCTCTTCCTCTGAAGGCAACCTAGAAAGGGAAAACCCAGGTTCAATATATACCTACTAAACACCAACTACATATTATGATCTAAATCAGGGCTTTAAAATAATCTTTGTTAATACTCCAACCACCTAAGTACTATCATTTTGCTTTTACAGACAAAGCACTGGGTAAATCATGAAACTCAGAGCCATATGAATTTTGAGAAAATGAAGATTAAGACTCTAACTTCTGACCTGCCTGAAATTCTAGGCCAGAAGATCAGGGTTGGATGGGGATAGTGAGATACAGAAGAGAAAGACATTGCTTCTTCTCTGCTCTACTTGTTTTAACACCAGGAGTGAATGGTGCTGTCTATTCTAAAAGCATAGATGAGACCGGGCATTGTGGTGCACACCTGTAATCCCAGCATTGGAGAGGCTGAAAACAGGAGGATCACTATAAGTCCCAGCTTCATAGTGAGACCCGGCACCAAACACACTAAAATAATAATAATAAAAGTATAGATATACTGGAGAGAAGGAAAGAAGGAGGGGGAGACACAGGCAGTGGGAGAGACAGAGGAGGGAGAATAATTAATAAACAGACTACTCATCTACAAATTTCTAGGAAGAATGGCAGGACAACTCTCTCAAAGGTCCTATGCTCTAGCTGAAAACTAATTTAACTAGCTGAGAATGAGCCTGACCTAGGAACACAGGATGGGGAGAATAGATTGTGGAGAGAAAGGAATATAGGGAGAAGGAGGGAGAAGAGAAGGAATAGTAAAGGAGAGGGGAAGGGTGGGAAAGCAAGAGACATATCTCTATTTCAATAGTTTTTTTTTTAAAAAAATCACTTACTTATTTATTTGGTATAGGGTCTCACTATGCAGCTTGGACTTGCAGTGATCCTCCTGTCTTAGCCTCCCCAATACGGGGATTATAGGTGTGGACTACCATGCCCAGTTTCAGGACTGGCATAGCATGCAATACCAGGGATTGAACCAGGGTCCTTGTGCTTGCCAGGCACTTAGACTACCACACTATCTCCCCAGCCCTCTATTTCAATAGAAGCTAGACCTACACATTTTAAAACTGATGCCAGATACACTTCAGTGCACCTCTACTCACCTGAAGGTTCCTACTTCTGAAGACTTGGTATTTATCTCTGCATCTGTGACAAGAGAGAAAGAGTAAAAATGGTAATCACACCAGACTGTCCTGGGGCTTCCTGTGTTCTAGGCACTGCTTTCTATCAGTTTTAACTGATAGAAAGTAGCTCAACTCTCCATTTGTCAGATCAATGGAATATGCATACTGGCATCCAATAGGTTCAGGTATTATGAGGTGAAGACTTCTGAGTTAAACACTTCTAAATAAATCTGCAAATCTGGACTTGGGAAATAAGTAGTTGCCAAGGGGAAATCTGCTACCTGCAGAAGTTCACAACCTGGTGATGCAGACAATCTGGTGATGGAGAGGCAATAGGATTATGTTTGGAGAGGTTGCCTTTTCATGGTTATCACTAAGGACAACAGATTTGTTTGATGGGAATGAACAATTAGAACTAGATATTAAGCAAATTTCACTGTGCTCAAGCAAAGGTTCCCTTTCCATACTCATTTGGTGAATTTTAACACTAGCAACTAATAACAATGGTAATAATAGCCACTAACATTTATCAAGAGCCTATTTATACCGGGGAATAGTTTTAGAACTTTACTAGATACAATCCTTGCCCTCCATAAAATTGGTATTATTAACTCTGCACTGCTCTTACCAATCCACTCTAATGCCCTTTAGAAATAAGAGACACAAGGATGAGCTACTTCCTCCAATTCCTTAGTAACATAGGCTTGGACACTAAACTAAAAGGTGATATATAAGGAGGCAGCAGAAGGAGGCAGTAATGTCTGCATGTTTGCTTTTCCATTTCTGTTTCTTTAGAAAATCTACCTGGGGCTTGTATCATTCCCTTGTGATTTGGAATGTTTTTTCCCAGGTCAACAGGTAGTCCCAATCCCAGACTTACAAAGCCTGAAATAAAACACATGGTGAATAAGGCAGGGTTATCTCCCATCTTCCTTAGGGAAAAATGACCTACCTGAGTCTTAGACACTGGTCAACTGGGCTAAAAACACACTTACATAACCCTACTAAAGAGGGGTTGACAATAAAATTATGGCAAAAAAAAAAGGGGGTTGATAGTGGGTATCTCCACTGGGAGACCTTAAAAAGAAGCTCCAACATGGGGATCTCACCTATGGTCTTGTGCTCTGACTGTTCCAAGAGACTGAGGAGTCGGCCTTCATTTTGGCCTTTATCCTGTATTGGAGAAAAATAGATAAAAAGGTTACTTCATGGCAGAGTCTAAAATATAACTGCCTTATCTCAGATCACAACTTTTCCCAGGAGAGAAGAACTGTCTGTGGTAGCATAGTTCTAGATTTCAGTTTCTAATAAATGAAGGTAGATGACCCCGTGCTCCAAAAAACAAATTGCAATGCAGATAATTATAACTCTATGCCAAGACTACAACCCAAGAATGGATAGCAGCATCAAAACAAAATAGTCCACCAAAATCATATAAAAAAGAAGAGTAGTTTCTAATCTATGACAGATTTGAAGAGATTTAAAATAGGGAATAACCATTTTGAGATAGCTTCTTCAGGCAGTGACACCAGAAGAATAAACTGGCTCTTTGGTATAAGTTAAGCACTCACAGATAAATACCAACTCCAAACCATTAGCTCAAAATTACTTCATTCACTGAAAAATCCCCCTTTGCTGGCATGACAGAGAATGGTGTCCTAATCTTAATGTGTGCAGTGAGTTGTTGGTTTATTTTTCATTTCTATGCCAAGACTTGTTCTTCCTGTTCTCAAATTACAAGGCCCAGAGTGTATTTTCATCTTTCCAGTGACCAGGGCCCACACCCAGTAGTTTTAGTTTCCTAAGGCTGGGAACACAAGGAATTCAATAGAACTGATCTCACATGTGTTCCTAGCAGCAGGGATATGAAGCCAATATCCTTTCAGGAAAGCAATTTGGCAGTAATTTCAAAAGATTTTAAACTGTTTCTATCCATTGGCCTAATAGTTCTACTTCACAAAATTTATTCCAAGGAGATAATTGCTGGTACAAAGTTGACTACTGTTTTTAACAGTCTTATAATACAGAAAGATGCTGGAAAAGCCTATATCTTGAACAGTATTATAATGATTAAGTGACCATTCATGTGATACAAACAGTAATATTTTGAAATAGTCTAAAATTAAACCCAGAACGATGTTTAAACTACATAGTAAGCTTTTATAAATTTAAGATGGAAAATTACACAAGTATAGTTCATATAGTATGTAGTGTGGGGGGGTGTAAAGACAGCAGGAGGGATGAGAGAGGGAGGAAAAAAAGCACTGAGAGAGAAACAATGAATTACACAAACAAGTATAGGTGGGCTGGGGAGATAGCTCGGTGGTCTAAGTGTCTGCCTGGCAAGCACAAAGACTCAGGTTAGATCCCCAGTACCACATGATGTGCCGACCCTGCCCTGGGCTTGCTATGTAGGCCACTGAAACTGGACATGGTGGCACATGCCTGTAATCCCAGCACTGGGGAGACTGAGACAGGAGAATCATTATGAGTCTAAGTTGCATAGTGAGACACTGTACCAAATAAATAAATCTTTTTTAAAAAGTATAGAAAAAAGGCTGGAAGAAATTAAAAGTTGTGACCTTTGAATAGCTAAACTATTTCCCTTGGTTCTTCAGACTTACGAGAAATTTCCCATTATTTTCTACAATGAACATATATAACTTTTTAAGGTAAACAGGAAGAATGCTGAGAGGGAGGGGGGAAACAAAATCCCAGAATAGAACCTCTTTTTTTTTTTTTTTTAAATTTTTTTAAAATCTTCTTATCCTCTTTATTTTTATTATATTTATTTATTTATGTGTGTGTGTGTGGCCCGCTCAGCCCACCAGGGGGCGGGGCTGGCTGGCATGTGGTGCTGGGGGATTGAACTGCGGTCCCAGTGCTTTGCTATGCTTGTTCTAAGTAGATGCTTTAGACCACTGAGCCATCTCACCAGCCCCTAGAACCTCTTAAATGAGGAGAGCTAAGTTGCCTCTTCCTAAATAACACATACCTTCGCATTCTTCACTCGCTTCCTTTTCACAGTTGGACATGCTTTGGCACCCTCTTCAGGCCCATTTCCTTGGTCACCTCTTGCAAGTTGAAGACAAGAGTCAACATGACACTGATATTCTCCAAATGGGACCAAGGATTTACAAAGATAACACTTCTCAAGCCTAGCCAATCAGAAGAGAGAAAAAGCAGTTTTAAAATTTGCTTTTGCCTCTGGGCTCCTGGATATGTCTTAAATTGCCTTTTTACATCTCAAAGTTATTCTGAGGAGAAGACACGTCAACCAATGCAGATTCACTCAGCAGGATCACCAATAAAACTAACCTGATGCCAATCAAAAGGACTGAGTGATTAGCAGTTTTCTTGGGCTGTTTCTTTGTACCCTGCTGTTGGAACAGTGGGGTGGTAATGAAATCAGCTCTTCTAACTATCTCAAACAATGTTGACTGCTCCTCAGACATAAAATAGTCTGTCAAACTTCTAAAATTAAGTATAATCCTTTTTTTCAAAGGAAGTTAAAATTTCAAGTGAAAAGGGAACACAAGAGCATTAAACCAAAATGACATCTCCATCAAGATGGATAAACTTGTCTGATTAGTAAATCAAGTCTATCTGTATGCTAACTTCCTTAATTCTACAACTTGTAACAGCAACTAGATGGCTACTAAGAACATGTGTCTGCCACACAGGCTTTTACATAATTTCATAAGAATTATTTTTATTGTTTTACAACATAGTTTTGTGAAAGAGAAGTATGTCCTTGAAGTGAGGTTTATTGAGTATTAGTGAACACAGAATTTTGGGGGAAAAAGAAAAAAAGGAATACTCATTAAGTGTTCACTTTTTCTGTGATCAGTATATGTGGAGGGCCTTATGAACATAATTTCTCAATTCTTCAGCACTATTAGTAAAGAACTATTTTCTCTAAGGTACTATAGCTTAATATCAGAACCTACATCTGACTGACTACTAAGATCATCTTAGATTTAAGCAGCCACAGACTTCTCTTTCTGGCCATCACTATTCAGCCCATCACTATTCACTAACTACAGCAAGATACCAGCTCTAAGGAAGAATTTCTCTGGAGGTCTTTAAAACAAAGCGAAATAAGCCTCTCAAGTACTTAATTATCTGGAAGAATGCAAACTCTGCCTTCTGAGAAAAGTAACACTAGTATTCTCTTCATGGATTATCAATGAATGCAAAAGGCATTTATTGGGGCCGGGGAGATGGCTCAGTAGGATAAGTACTTGACTGGCAAACGCAAGGATCTGAGTTCAATCCCCGGTTCTGAAAAAAAACGGATCACTGCGAGTCTGATCTAATAGTGAGACCCTGAATACCCTGTAGACCTTTCCCTAAAAAAAAAAAAAAAAAAAAAAGGCATTTATTGATTCTTACTACTTGAGAGATAGTAACACTGTAAGGAGGAAAATTTTTAGTCAGTCAGACTTTGCCATCTCTACCCACATGATCCTAAAACAGTTAAATGTAGTTTATCTTCATTTCTTAAGAAAAGGAGAAGAGAAAGAAGCAGCAGCAACATCTAGGCACAATAATGCATGCCTATCATCCCACTTACTAAGGAGAATGACACAGGAGAATCACAAGTTTGAAGTCTACTTGAACAATTTTGCAGTACCTTATTAGGATGGACAGGACAGGGACAGGGACACACCAGATGTGATGACAAGATGTGGACGTGGTTTGGTGTGAGGCCCTGGGTGTAATTCCCAATAGTGCAAAACTATATAAATTTAAATGACTAGCTAAACTGTTATTTCTCTCTCACACATTTTGTTAGACACAGAAGATACAAACATGAATGAGAGCAAATTGCTCGCCTTCAAAAAACTCACAAAAATGTTAAAAAACAAACCTGCAGACAGTCCTAGAGGAATGTTTACAATGCAGAAGAATTCCAAGGGAGAAAGTGATAAATTTTGCTCAACTGGATTAGGGATGACAACTCTGAAATTTAGGGTCTAAGATCTCTGTTTCAAATATAAAAGTTTCTAGGAAACAATCAGCACAGCAAGATGACAGCCTACAGAATGGGGAAAATATTTGCAAACCATACATGATAAGAGGCTAATATCCAGATATATAAGCACCTGAAAATTCAACAGCAAAAACACAAATAATTTGATTAAAAATTAGGCAATAAGCCAAAAAAGACATTTGTCAAAAGACAGACAAAGCCACTTGTAATGGCACGTGCCTATAATTTTGGCACTTGGGAGGCTGAAGCAGGAGGATTGCCCTGAATTCAAGGCCAGCCTGAACCACACAGTGAGTTTAAAGCCAGTCTGAATTATATAGTGAGACCCTGTTTCAAAAAACAAAGGGTTAGGGCCGGGGGAGATGGCTCAGTAGAATAAGCGCTTCCCTGGCAAGCACAAGGGCCTGAGTTCAATCCCCGGTTCTGCCAAAAAAAAAAAAAAAGGCTCGGGAGACAGCTTGGTGGTCTAAGTGCCTGCTTGGCAAGTGCAAGGACCCGGGTTTGATCCCCAGTACCACATGCTGTGAGGCCCAGGTACACTGTGCAGGCCACTGAAACCAGGTGTGGTGGGGTACTCCTGTAATCCCAGCACTGGGAGGCTGAAACAGGAGAATTACTACTAGTCAGAGCTGTACAGTGAGAGCCTGTACCAAATAAATAAATAAATAAATAAACAAACAAACAAACAAATAAATACAAGCAAACATGCACAAGTAGCAAAAAAGTATATGAAATATTCAATGTTACTAATAATCAGGAAAATGCAAATTTTAAAAACTCAAAGAGATACTACTTCACACCAATAAGGATGGCTATTATCAAAAAGATAAAAAAAGGAAAAAGAATAAAAGATAAAAGATCGGGTTTGGTGGTGCACGCCTGTAATCCCATCTCTGAGGAGGCTAAAACAGGAGGATCACTACAAGTCTGAGCTCCAGAGTGAGGCCCTGTGCCAAATACGTAAAATACAAAATAAATTTTAAAAAAAGGTCAAAGGGGATAAATCCTAACAAGGTTATGGAGAAAAAAGAACAGTTGCTCATTGCTGGTGGGAACAAATTGGTAATAACCATTATGGAAAACAGTATGACGGTTACTCAAAAAATTAAAAATAAGCTTCCATATGACCCAGTAAATTCTACTCCTGGGTATATAGTGAAGAAAATAAAATCAGTGTCAAAAAGATATCTGGTTTAGTACAGTACCATTCACAATAGCTAAGAAATGAAAGTGACCTAAGAATTGAGCAAAGAATGAATGGATAAAGAAATGTGTTAAGGTATACACAGTAGAACACTATTCAGCCATAAAAAGAAAGTCCTGTCCTTTATGATGACATAAATGGAAATGTGTTAAATGAAATAAGACAAGCCCAGAAAGACAACCATATTATAAACTCAGAATACAAAAAAGTTGATTTTATACAAGTTGAGAATACAATAGGGATTACCACAGGCTAGGGAAAGTAGGAGAGGGAGGGATGGGGAGAAACTGATCAATGGCCACTAGGTAACAGAAGTAGGAAGTTCTGGTACACTACTTCATAGTAGGTGATCACAGATAATGTACTGCATGTTTCAAAAACTAGAAGGATATTAAGAAATGGTGAATGTTGAGAAAATATGTTTAACTTGATTTAAACATTTTATATAGGGCTAGTCAAATACCTCAGCGGATTAAAGTGCCTGCAAGCAGGTGCAAGGGCTGGGGGTTCAATCCCCGGACCTGCTGTGCTGGCCCCACCCCCGAGGCATGTTGAGATGGCAATTGAGACTGGGCATAGTGGTGTGCACCTGTAATCCCAGCTCTTGGAAGGCTGTAAACAGGTGGATCACTATGAGTCTGTTCTAGTAGTGAGACCCTGAACATCCTGTAGACCCTTCCCTAAAAAATACAAAAAAACAAATTATATTATATATACATACACACACATGTGTGTATACATATAAACACATATATGTGTATATATACACACATGTGATATATATATATATATATATATACACACACACACACACCATGTTTTCATTTATCAATTTTGAAAAATAAAGAAAAAAGTTTCTGCACTAATATACTGTTGGTAAAATCTTTGATTTTAGGAGGCACAACCTACATCTGATTCCTTCCTTAGCATGGGCTTTCTTAAGTCAAGCTGCAACCAGCTACCCAAGGAAGTCTATGTTGCCCAACCTTTCACAACTCAACTTCTGTACCATTACACAACAATACACTCGCTGCTTCCCCAAAGCACCAAAAACCAATTTACAAGTTCAACAAAAATAGAAACTTAAAGAGCAATGTGCAACTGGAGTGGGTGGCAGGATCATTTTTAGTACACTGAAGAGGGATGTAGACAAACTACACTGCCATAAACTGGAAAAGAGAAAAAGAAACTACATTCAGGCAATGTAGTGACTGGCAGGTCAAAGAAATACAGGGTGAGATAGGAAGTGGTGTCTTTATTTGGTTCACACAAAGACATGTTAAACAAGAGCTCAGGGAATGAAGCATAGCTACTTACTTGTCAATGTCTAGGGAAGTCTGTGCAGTTATCCCTCTGTCACTCTTGCTCTTGGCCTCTCTTTGTCTCCGAGTCATCACTTTAAAAAAATATATACATATTTATACATACATTGTTATCCAGGAAGAGACTATGAATATAAAAGACAAGAATGTACAGGAAAAAACAGTTAAAACCCTACTGTGGGGATAGAAGCACACTGCCTGCAAAACTTTAATCTTTCTAGTACTGAGGATAACACCTATAATTCATGTACTGAAATTACCAACCACAAGACATTCTACTTACTGTTTGCTAAGTTTTGAGATCTAAACATCCAGTTCACTCCAAAAAGGTTTTTGTATACTACACCTCAACTTGCAGCAATCAAGTGAAGGATTTGTACTTTCCCAACCAATATCCTATTTGGTGTGATACAACAAAATAAAGTACTCGACAAAATAGAGTAATGATAGCTATATCCAAGTACCTACATAAGCTCCAATCTACAAAATTCTGCAAGTGGTCCATTTGTAAATGAGAAAACTGCCCTACGGAAGAGTTAACATTACCAGTCTCTTTCACTACACTACTACCACCCTCTGCTTCTACCAGGTATGGTTTAGCCCAGATAATGTACAAATATGTTGTCTCATGCCAAACAAAACCTGTTTACAAAATTACTAGCCAGGCATGGTGGTGCATGCTTGTAATCCCAGCACTCAGGAGGCTAAGGCAGGAGGATTGTTGCACATTCAAGACCAGCCTGGGCTACAATGTGAGCTCAAGGCCAGCCTGAACTGCATAGCAAGACCCTGTTTCAAAAAAAAGACAAAATAAATATTACAATTCCTTAAAGGATCTTGAAGCTTATTTAAATCAAGATGTGACCATTTCGTGTAAAATCCTGGCATGTCTTCCTCCCATTATCTCCCACAACAGAGGATTTAGAAAGGTTACCTGCTCATGAAATAACTTAGGCTGTGTTTATCTAGACCATGGGGCAGCAAACTTTTTATATGGGTCTAGATGGTTCACATGGTAAATATTTTAGGGTCAGAAGGCCATGAGGTCTCTATTACAACTACTCAAGTCTGCTTTGTAGTACGAAATGTTGGCCTGAAGACAATGGATATGGCTGTGTTCCAATCAAGCTTTATTTATAATAACCAGTCTCTGGTTAGGTTTGGTCCATGGCTAGTTTGTTTATCCTTTGAGTAAAAACTTCTACTCATAAAAAAAAAAAAAAAAAACCTTCTAGAAATATCACTGATAAGTTAATCACACAGCCTAATCTTGACTATGAGGGAAAATTTCACTTCCTCCTACAACAGTGGTGGTACAGCTATGGCACATGTATTTTAAGACAAAAGATGTTATTGTATGAATTGGTTTTTTTTTATATAAACTAAAACTTCAAAGGATTGGCCAAATAGCTCAGTGGATTAAAGCACCTGCAAGCAGGTGCAGGAGCCAGAGGTTCGATCCCCGGCCTGCCGTGCCAGCCCCACAGCGCGCTGAGCCAGCAACTGAGACTGGGCGTGGTGGCGCACGCCTGTAATCCCAGCACTTGGGAGGCTGTAAACAGGTGGATCACTATGAGTCTGATCAAGTAGTGAGACAATGAACACCCTGTAGACCCTTCCTTAAAATACAAAATAATAATAATAAAACCTCAGTGTTCAGGCTTAATTGAAGTGCTAACACTGTAATAAATAAGTGGGTTTTGGGGTGTAGTTTTGACATTTGTCTCTAAAAAGTTCACCATCACTGTCCTAGGGAAACTCAATGTATTACTATATGGCAATCTGGCTCATTCTGCATTTACTGTGAGTTGTATAAATAAATTTACTACCTTTTTCATAAGTCACAAGTTGCATTAGAATCTTGGATCTATTCAGTTGTCTGATCCTCTTAACATGTAACCTCCTTCAGAGATGGGACTACATCTAATCCCTAGTAAGACTTGAACTATAAAACCTTTAAATTGCCCACATTGGCTCTAATTCTTAGAATGATCCTCCAGATTAGTATTACTACCCATAGGGATGGAAACAAAATGAAAAGGTTGATTTCACCAAGCATTCACAAGTGGTAAAACCAGGATAGAACCTATATTCATGCTTTACCTTCCTGAGTTATCTCGAGACATACCCAATTTGTCTGTTTTTCTCTGTAGGTGTGCCAGCCCCAAAATGAACCAAACACTTTTCAAGGAGTCTGACTAGTAAAGAGAACCGAAGAGCCATGAACTACCTATCTGGATTCACACTGTACTAATCCAGTCAAGGCTCTACTTGCTTTATTGACAAGCCTGTTATACTATTAGTTCTAACTGAACTAAAGCAATTAAGGTCCATTCTCTACCTTCCCAAATCATCTTCAAATAAAATGCCACCAAGATAGCTCTCTTAGTTCTAGAGGTAATTAACTTTGTGAATCTTTTTCTTCTTTTTTTTTTTGGGGGGGGTGGGTATTTTTATTCTCTAAACACAGAAATGTATATTTGTATTCATTCTTTTCAGCTGAATAATCTGGAATGTTGTGATGAATTGTAGTCTTGATTTTGTCATTCGATGTTGTTAGCTCTTTCCCAGCTTTGTGTCAATTGCACACATGACAAACATGTTTTCTATGTCTTTATCACTTGGGGAAAAAAATGGTCATAAAGAATACAATCAAGGACAGAAAACTATGGAATGTTACCAGAGAAGACCAGTCTTTTCTCTGGTGTAAATTTCCTTCCTTCATTACAGAATCATCTATGTGCAAGAATTTGGGGAGGAATAGAAAACTTGAAGCAAGGCCTTTTCTCTCAAGGAGCTTACAGTTTACTAAAGATAGCATGTGCACTCAACTATAATATAGGTATAAAGAGATAGGCACAATAAGTACAAATATTAGATATATATGAGAAATATCACACACAAAGAGTAACTAATGCTTTTGCTACTGAGAAAGATGACAGGACCACTTGGGGATTGGAATAGGAGGGAAACATTTTTACACTGTATACTATTTTGTACTGTTGAATTAAAAATTAAAAGTCAAGGAGAGAGAGACAGTCTTAAACAGAGGTTAGCGTATGGGATCTATTTCTAAGGTTCCTTCCAATTCACAGATTTTATAAGAAAAAATAAAGTACAAGAAGAAAATATCTAGGACACACATGTAAAACTGGCTTCAAATCTACCTTCTATTAGCCAGCCTACAGGTCTCCATCATATGTATAAGAACTTCATGAGAGATTCATCAAGTGCTTTCCTAAAGTCAATTCCTAAAAGCTTGGCATAAGAAAGAGTATTGAATCTCTTAAGTAATTTCTCCCCACCCCTTATATTTGCCCTCCATCTTTACTACCAAGTATTAAAAACAAACTTGGAAACTATACAGATCAGGCTGAAAAAAGAAATAATTGCTTCTAGCACTTTACATATATTCTTTTATTACACTTAGTACATTTATATTCTTATTCACGTGTCATTCTCCAATCTTATACCATGCAATTTCTGAATTCAGAGATGCTGTTTTTGCTAAAATAAAAACATGTGATCCATGTCCTCAGCAGAGGCTAGCACAGATTAGATACCAATAAATACTTGCCCAATTAAATTATAGTAACAGATTCTAAGGGGAAAAAGTTCATCTTATGAAGACCTACTCCATGCCAGGATTAGAAACATAAGCTCGAGTTTATAACAAATCTGTAAGGTATATATCACATTAGCTCTGTTTTACAGATTATGAAATGTTAAATAACCTGGTCAAGGTCACAAAGCTATACACAACAAAAAGAGCACAGGAAATGTTACAATGTTTGACTGGAAAGAAGATATTCTATCAGAATGGGCTGTCTCTCCTGTGAAAGAAGGTAAAGGATGTGAAAAGAAAAAGTGGTAAGTGATAAGTGACTGGGCAAGCAGAAAAGAATTTGCTGAGAGAGACTTGATAGGTAGATGGTTGGGAACTACCTAGCAATTCTGTTATTAAATGTTATGATCAGAGCAGACTGGACCAGCCCTTGCAGTGCCATTTTTTCCTCTGAAACTTTTCCTTAAAATTGAAAAGTGTCAGTTGCTCTAAAGGAGTTACCTACTCTGTTTTATGGAGGCTGAGATGGTCATGTTATATAGATATATACAGAGAATTCAGTATGAAATCTATATCCAAAAACTTGACTGGGCACTGTTAAGATGCAAAAAAAATGCCAAGTATGGTGGAACATGCCTATAATCCCAAGCTATGTAGACTAACATGGGTGTATCTCAAGTTCAAGGTCAACTTAAGCAACTTGCTAAAACTTCCTTTCAAAATACAATAAAAATGGGGGTAAAGGAAGATAGCTTAGGGGAGGGGAGATAGCTCTTGGCATAAGCACCTGCCTGACAAGCACAAGGTCCCGAGTTCTATCCCAGCTCCCCCTGCCAAAAAAAAATTGAAAAATAAAAACGGGGCTGGGGAAATAGTTTGGTGGTCTAAGTGTCTGCCTAGTAAGGGCAAAGACCCGAGTTCAATCCCTCATACCACATGACATGCAGGCCCTAAAACCAGGCGTGGTGACACATGCCTGTAATCCCAGTGTTGGGGAGGCTTGGACAGGAGGATCACTATGAGTCTAAACTGTGTAGCAAGAAGACCCTGTATCAAATAAATTATATATATATATATATATATATATATATATATATATATAATGGCTGAGGGCCTGGGGAGATAGCTCAGTAGAATAAATGCTTGCTTGGCAAGTACAAGGGCCTGAGTTCAATCTCTGGTTCTGCAAAAAAATAAGAAATAATAAAAATGGCTGGGGCCTGCCCTTAGCTCAGTTGTTTAAGCGCCTGCTCATGCAAAGGCAGTCAGGAGCAGGATACCATGGTTGGATCCCCAGCTCCACCTGCCTTACCATACCTGCCCTGCAGGCTGCCTGAGCCACAAAAAAAAAAAAAAAAAAAATCCTTTTGGGCTAGGGAGATGGCTCAGTGGAATAAGCGCTTTCCTGGCAAGCACAAGGGCCTGAGTTCAATTCCCGGTTCTTCCCCCTTTCCCCCCCCCCCAAAAAAAAAGCCTGGGAATGCATCTTAGTGGTAGTACACTTTCCCA